AAATTTTGTTTCAACATCCCCAAAAAGATTATATGAAAGTATTTCTTCCTTTTCTTCCTGTAATTTTTCTCTTGAAGGACTGATAGTTGCTGAAATATCATCATGCCAAGTTTTACTTGAATGCTAAATCAAAGCATCAAATTTACTTTTTATTTCTATCCACTTGTCCTGATAACTTATGGATGTATCAAATTCATTCCTCCAGTTCTTTTTCATCAATATTTTTCTCAACTAGTATCAAAGCTCTTACCTTTTTTTCAAAGTCTAATATATGTTTAGCTCTTGCTTCTAGTTTTATAAATTCCTTTTTCAACTAGGGATCATTTTCAGCTATTTTCTTCTCTACTGTAGTAGCAAAAGTTGTAAATAAATTTCTCCACTGAGCTCTTTCTAATTTGTCAGTTTTCAACTCTTCAGCACTCATTATCCTTAATTTCTCACACAAGAGATTACACTATTTATTATTAGGAAATTACTTCAGGAACCAAATAAGGCTTTTTCAACTATTTGGCAGTTTTCAACTCTTCAGCACTCATTATCCTTAATTTTTCCACAAGGGATGCCACTATGTGATGTCAGGAAATCACTTGAGGAATCTTAAGATTTCCTATAGCCTATTAAGGTCTTACTCTCAAACTATAATATATTGGGCATTTAAATAATAAATGATAAAGTGTTTCTTTTTCCACTGTGTTGCACATTTTGTACTCAAATTGAGGATTGGTTTTTAAAATTTTATTGTTGACTGAAATTTTGATCAAGTATTTTCCCGAGAGGCGGCTCTGTATATAAATATACTCTGGTATATTTGAAATTAGTCAGATTCAACAGATACTGGGAGATCCTACCATTGTTGAAACAAAGTTTCAAATGTTCACTGTAAGCTGAGCTATGCAATGCTTTCTTGTCACCCTCCTGCAAATGTCATTTATATTTGTTTAATATCCTGTTAATATTAGCTCTAATTATGTCTAGGTAAGTTTCATAAACTAAATCACCTTCCTCTATAGTATCTAACAATACTTTCAACTGAGCTCACCAATTACATGTCGATAGAACAGGATCAAATTGGTAACAATTAGTTTCTTAGTTTTTCATAACATATTTTAGGATATCTAAATTTCTTCATTTCCACAAGTTATTTTGCCACTCAAACCTATAGAAAAAGTTTGTACCATAGTTAGGTATGATTGATAGGGTCAAAATCATGTTGAAAGTCAACAAAAAGAATGAAAAAAAATTATGACTTCTCTCATAAAAATTGATTAAGGATAACAGCATTCAATACTAAAACATTATCCAAGCAACTACTCCTGTTTCTGAATCTTATTGGGCATTCCGGTATAATTTTGCTTTCTTTGGTTCATAATGTGATTCTTTCCAGGAGGAACTTGGTAAAAATTTTGATAGCACAGTTTGCCATAGATATAATATGGTAATTAAGTAAGTTTCATCGGTTCCCTTTCTTAAATATAATCACACTCAAAATTTCAGCCCATGATTTTTACATAAACCAATTTGAGGGAAAATCTAGTATATCTCCTATGGAACACCATCAAGTCCTCGGGCTTTGCCATTTTTAACTTTGTTTAAAGCCCTGCTTATTTCCTCAGAAGTCATATCTCCATCTAATAATGGATGTAAATTATCAATAAAAAATTGACTGGATGTCAATCTAGGTGGTTACATCATTCTAAAAACTTTTCTCACTTCTCTATGGAAATACTCGGTCTGGAAATGGTGCTGCCCCTGATACTCCAAAAGGTTGAGCTATCGTTACTTGTTCCGAGAGTTTCAATTATGTTTAAATTATACCTTATTTTTTTCATTTTCACAAAATTTCTATATTGTTTTTTCAATCCTAAAAAATTAAATAAGTAAAATTATTTTTCTTACATATAGAAAAACAATTTTTCAGCTGTCTTAAGTACCTTGCATTCATTATTATGCCAAAGTTTATTTCTATAAATGCTCTGTTTGTTAAATTCTGTTTTACTTTTCATTATATTAATTTCCTTAGACATTCTGAAAACAGCAGATATAAAATGTTTGTATGATTCTTTAACAATAATGGTTTCAAAGTTAACTGTGATTAATGGAAAAATTAGTAAACAACTTTCAAATATTTCAGATATATTATTAACCCATTTGATAAATTTTGTTTTGATATTACCCCATTTAATAAATTTTGTTTTGTAGGCATTATTTTTTGTATTCATGATATTAAACTTTCAATCCAGAGTAAAGTTTCAATTTTAAATGGAAATGATCAGTACTGGACAATATTTATTTGACTCTTAAATCACATACCAGTTCTAAGCCACCGATTTCACACCAGACAAAATCCACGACACTCGATCCATTAGTGGTACATTAAGTATAATTACCAGTTATATCACTGGGATTACGGACATTTAACACTATAAAGGAATAAAGTTCCATAAATTCAGGACTGGTGATAATTTACTGTCTTCAAGTTTCCATGAGATCTTCAATCTGGATGTGGAAAGTGTTTCCTTTCATTGTCAAAACCTGTTTTTTCATAAATAGATATAAACTTTATGAATTTAATGATTTTTCACTCGCTCTCTTTTATGATATTCAATGTCAAAAATCACCAAAAACGACTTTTGGCTGTTTTTGAAAATTCATATTTAAAAAAAGGAAAAGATTTTCAAGATTCCAATTTCATCAGCAAGTATTACCGCGATAAGACTCAATATGAAAAAAAAAAAATTAAAGCTGAGATTCTTTTTATTATTACAGTTTTGAAGTGTAATATATCTCATTTTATGTTACTTTTCATTTTGTACTTGTCAATTTTTTTAACAACTTTTCTCACTACGTAGAGGTTGCATTGTGAGAACAAAAAAATTAGAGTGAAATATCATCATAATTTTAGTTTTTGTTTTGTTTTGATACCTGTAAAAATGCCGTGGTTAGAGTACGTGGGATATGCTGATACCGACTCTCATAGTAATATTTGTTGCGCTATAACTTATAGAACCAGTTGAGTCTCAGTAATAAAATTTGTATCACTAGTTCCAAGAATTAATTTAATATTTTCTAACTCAATACTTCCATTAGAATTTCAAAGAAAAATGTTCTTATTAATAGCTGCATTTTCTATGACCATAATCAAATCGCAGGGTCAAAGTTTTGAAAAAATGTATGTATTATTGTGACGTCCAGTAATGTTGCATGGACAATTATATCTGGCAGCAAGTAGAGCACATTCATTTAAAATTTTGAGGTTTATATTTCTAATACTATACTAATCAGAACATTTAAAAAGAACATTGTTTACAGAGAAGTTCTGCATACAAATGGATTTAAACTCAGTTTTAAATCCATTTTTAATTTTTTTTTTTTCATATTGAGTCTTATCGCGGTAATACTTGCTGATGAAATTGAAATCTTGAAAATCTTTTCCTTTTTTTAAATATGAATTTTCAAAAACAGCCAAAAATTCTGCATAAAAATGGATTTAAACTCAGTTGAAATTGTTAATTTTTTACTTGCTTAATCATAACATTAATTTATTGTGATAATAACACACATAAATTAAAATACAAATTAAATATTTTGAATGAGTTTATTTTGTGTTACTTATAAATAATTTTAAGTAGTTTAAGCTCGATTTTTAATTGAAATTGAAATTTGGTTTATATTAATAAATGAGGATTTTTTAATCGCGATTTACTCTTTATTATTTATTGAATTTATTTTTTATTTAATTATGTTTTCCTCAAATTTTTAATGGCTATGGTCGAATTTCGACCACTGGGCGAACACTAGTAATTCATAATCGGACATATGAAAACTCATGCCACAAAACAAAGATGACTAACTTCCAAACAATTTTGAAAGTAATAGCATATTATTATTTATTACAATTTCTGAAGAAATTGAAAGCCTGCAATTTCTTGTATTATTTTCATTAAAATGTAAATATTAGGATTGGAAACATTTGGTCGATCACTTAAAAAAATATGGATCAGTTCCTATAAAAGAGATTTGTTTAAAAAACATTATTATTTTATTTTAATAGATTTTTGAAAAAGCACTATTTTTTAAAATATTTTCCAGATCACAGGAAAAAATAAATTAAAACTTTGTAATAATTTATAGTAGTTATTTTTGCTGAAAACACAGGTACTCTAGGATGACGGAATATCTTATCATAGTTTCCTCGCACATATAGAGATGAATCTCAGCTTTATTCGGTAACATACCTCAACTTAATTTACATTGATTTAAATTTAATTAACAAGGGAGGTTTCACAAACATAGGGTATCCATAGTCTAGTTGAAGGGTATTAAAAAAAATTATGAATAATCCATGTTTTTATGAAAAATATAACAGCGTAGTTTAGCTGCTTAAACTCCTCTTTGAATGTTTTTAATAAAAAAAACTAACTCTTATCATACCACATCTACAATATTGTGCATTAAATATCACTTGGACATAATTGGACTTATATCAAATATATCAATTGAAAATCACATGTTCAATTTTTGGTATGCTTGGGTGGAAATGTTAGCAAGTTGAATAAAACAAATCTATACTGCAAATCCTCATTATTTAGTATCTTCATAATCAAAAAAAAAAAAAAACAGTTAACAAAAATATTCATATCTCAAAAAATAATTTAAATATAATCATGTATCATGTGTGATAAATATTCAGGACGCAGTCTTTTTTATAAATTTTTTTATTTTTGCCAACGTTTCAACCCAAACATGTGGGTCATCTTCAGGACGTGGTTTGAGCACTGAGGTTGTTCATGTACTCACAACAACCTGTGCTCAAACCACGCCCTGAAGATGACCCACATGTTTGGGTTGAAACGTTGGCAAAAATAAAAAAATTATAAAAAAGACTGCGTCCTGAATATTTATCACCCATGATATATAGAACAGTCAACTAACTTCCTTCAAATATAATCATGTATGTAAATTTTATGACCATTGAACAGGAATTAAAATAAAATAGAAACTAGAAGAAAAATAAAACAAAATTTTATTTACATATCTTACAATTAAAATAATATATATACACACAACATACATACATATATTATATGTATATTGAATACATATCATACAAATTTATAATTGATATTTTACAAAATATTCATTTTTAATAATCATCTAGATTTCTCATTGAGCATAATTCGGATGGCTTATAAAATGCATTATATACAAGAATTAATGTCAAACAAAGGAATTAATTTCATAATTAAAATTTATGTTTACATATAAAAACCATATACTATAGCACAAATCATGACTTTAATGATCCAGATAAGACATACGCTATATAAGTGACTTTCAATTAACTAGTCACTGACTCAACTTTACTAAGACATTTCAACACTATTGATGTAAATACAAAAATATTTCTGAAGAATTAATAATTTTTAATTTTGATTACATTTTTAGATCAGGTTTTCAAACCATATATGTGATCCTAATATTCAATCTAGAATCCAATATCCAAGGAGATGGAACCATTAAATTAATGGATCATAACACCAGCTGGCTTCAAATAAAAGCTTGATTAAAGTGCAACTATAAATACTTTTCTTGAACAAATGGTTAAAAACCTGTATATTCAGCAAATATGAAACTATTTTGTTAAAAAGACCTCTGATTCAACTACATATCCACATTGTTAAACAATAAAAACTGTTTACCCTTAAAAAATAGTCTTATTAACTTTATTGCACTTGCTTTGCAAACTACTGTTATTCAATCAGAGACGAACTTATTATGTTATATGACTAGGATTACCTTATAGTAATATATCCTATATACCTTTAACTGAAATAAACAATTTTAGTGAGAAAATATGAGAAATTTTCTGCACACTTAAGAAAATAGACATTAAAAAAAACATTTTGGATCAACAATATTGTAAAACAACAAGTAAGTAAAATTAACCTAAATATATTTTTGAAAATAAGAAATTAGTCATATTTTTCCCTTTAAATGATGTTCTTCTATTCCTATGTTCCTGAAAAGCTAATGTTTCTGAAAACCTTTCCATAATAAAAAAAAAATGTATCAATGTAACGCTCCTAATGATATCATTAGATACCCCATGTATTCTTATTATTAACTTATTAAAAAAATAAAAACAGCTTGTTTCTCTCAACAAATATTATTGATACATATGCTTTCATTTATGGTGGCAAATCTTCATTTATTTCTTCATTTTCTACGATTCCTAGAAAAGATGTCAATAAAAAACAAAAACAAAAATATAATTAGTTCTAAAATAATGTAAAAGTAATATACTATTATTATACAGTAGACATATAATAATTCAGAATAAAAAGGACACATACCAAAAACTTGGACTGACAAACAGCTGAGTTACAGGAAAAACATTAATACTTTTAGAGTTGTGTCTCTTTTTTTCTGGATGTATGCAAGTAAACAATTTTTCAAACTGCAGGTTAAAGAGTGCAATTTTTTGCTCAGAAATCATTAAACATCAGCATAAAGTTAACTGTTTTGTTTTAACCAATTAGTTTTTATTTTTACGATTTTATCATGTATTTTTAACTATTATATTGACAATATTATTCTAAGTATTCAATACTTAAATGTTTCTTAGCAATTAACATGACTTATTTTATATAACAATAGTTTTATGAGGTCGGGTTTTATCAAAATAAGAATTAATACACTATGATTAATAATGTTCAAAATAATGAATAATAGAACTATAATTTTTCTAAACAAAAACAATTGATAACGAATATCAGCAGATCTTTCAATATTATATGTTAGTCATAATTAGAATAACAATTATTATTTGATGTAATAAAATACATAACAAAAAATACAAGATACATACGAATAATAAAACATATGAGCTAGAATAACAGTTATCCAACTATGAATTAATAGGTTTATAAGTCAACTATTAAAAAATAATATTTATACAAATGAAAAGTAATATACATTACTCATTAAACAAAATCACTCCATAACTACCAAAGAATGAATCAGAGTTATTTACATAGTTACAACTCATTTTATATCAAGTTTATGGAAGAAAAATAAAAAAACATTTTCTATTCAGTATCTTTTTATGAAAATTATTTGTTGATGTATTTATTATTCTAACTCAATATTATCAAATAATATTTTAAAAATAATTATTGTACTTTCAATAATTATTAATTATTTTCTGACAATTTGGCATCAGTTCAATATCGAAAAAAAAATATTATTGTGCTGTTAAATTTAATTCAAATCTGATTTTCACTTAATTATCAACATAATCTTCCAAAAAAGGATTTTTCTTTCTCTCTCTTTTAATCTTGCACTCCAACGAATCAATAAATATAAATTATAGTTTTCTCAAAATTTAGTACTATGGATTGGTCATTTTTCTCATTAGTTAAAATGTCAATTGAAATTACTGAACTGTGAGATTTTTAAGATGATATATTTTATGGGAAACATTAAAAACAGTTTTAAATAATTTTTATACATATAAAACAGCTACTCAGGCAAAAACAATATTCAATATAAGACCATCATTGCATCAAAACCCAATTCAACAATCAATCTTTAAAAATATTGGAAAATTGTTTTTATTTAAATTTTGATTAACTGAAATACAAATAGTAAATATATTCTCAAAAACATAACATGTAAAATAATAATTATGCAAGAAAACTAATTACAAGAATGATCATGCAAAAGCAAAAGTTATTCATTGAAATAAGTTAAGAGCTAAAACATTTTAAAAAAGGTTAAAAAAATAATCAAGAAAGGCTTGTTTCATGCTTAACACAAGAATGAATATGATATCATGTTCAATCACAATAAAACAAGGTAAATAAGAAGTTTAAAAAGATATTGTTGCAAAATCATTCCAGGCTCAATAGCAAAAAAAAAATCAAAACCATGCAATGAATTTATTTGCCAAAAAGTAAAACAAATAAAAAAAGGTTTGCTAAATGCCGATTCTATATTCAAATCTACTTCATTTTATTTTTCCAAGTGTGAAGTTGATTTTTCATGCTTTTGCCTTCCTATAGTACCTGAGAAATGTAGAATAAACAATGTTTGAAAAATTAATTTTCTATTGATTCCATTAAATTTAGTATTTCTGTAGAATAGAATGGTCAGCTAAGATAATAATTGGATCCCTGTCAAACAGATATTTCAGTTACTAAAGAGTTGATTAATAATATATTAACAATATAATTCTTTGGAATTCAGACATCCAATTCCATAAGAATATAATAAAAGGCATTGGAAAGAAAAAAAGATTAATATTCATAATTGAAAACAAATATGCCATTAATAAGTAATTTTATAAATGGGAACATTGTCTTAAAATACATTTCCTTAAAGTGTTGTTTATATTTTACGTGTAAAAGGGCGAAGGAAAGTGATAGGGCTAGTGGATTTTGTGGAGTATTTGTGATGTGTGAAACATTGTCCACACTTCCTTTTATTTTAAAATTTAAGTAATACACTTATTATGAACTTTTCAATTTATTAGAATGTCCACAACTAAATGTTTTACTTCTCATTAAAAATATATAAAAGGTCATGCATTCATAAAAACGTTTTTTTTTTAAATATGACAAAATAATTTTTATGGATGCAATAGCAATAAATGAGTGAAATAGTTAATAATGGATACATCAACTGATAGGAATTGTGCATAATAAGTGTATTTCTGAAGAGAAGGAAACAATTCTGAAATGTTGAAGATGTAAAAGAATAAAGTAAAACAAAAATAAAAGGAATTGTTCACAATTTATTTAACTAATTAATTAATTATATTAAATTTAGATCATTTTATTTTAATATGTTTTTAAATCCATCTTAATGATTTCCTTTAGTACTTGTACCATAGGGTTCCAAACTTCTTGTATCAAAAGTCATATTGATGAAAATTATATTTTAAAGTAAATAAAACTCTTGCAAGAGTCACTGATATCCAGAAATCGAAGGCTGGTCATCAACCTGGTTGGAATTGCTACAATATACTACAGTTTCTCATTTTGGTATTAATCTTGCCGATTCTAGGCCTAATCTTATTTACAAAATATTTAAAATCCTATCTTGAAATTCTGGATGAGCTAGCTATTTAGTACCAAATCACAAGTTAATTTTTGGAGGCAATTTTACTTCTTATAAATGAATGCATTTATTATCCAAACAGACCAATTTCTCTTTTTTCCTCAGTTTTTTATAGAGAATTGCGTCAAGAGGAATTCTTGTTTACCCATTTTCAAATACACCACAGAGGAAAGTGTATATGGCCATTTTGAATACTTCTTTCTGAAAATCTATCGTCTTATATATTGCTCAGCAATATTAACAAACATTCTGACCGACATATGGCAGGCACTATTGCCCTGAAGGAATTTATTGTTATCAGTAATCTGCAATTTTTATTGCCGATGTAAACAGTGCCTAACAATTTACATTACGGGGTTAATTTTAAATTTAAGTGATTGATACGAGATAAGTAATTAAGAATCCATGACCAGTAATTAGTTTCTAAATGATCATTATTATGCTGACCAGTCATATATAATTAATTATTCACAACTTCCATTTCAATCTTCTAGATCTGAAGTTTACATTGAACCTCAATATTACAAAACAGCCTCACTGGCAATTAATGAAGGCACAGATTAGGATGGCCTATTTTAATTAAGAGTTCAGGTATAATTTAGTATTTAAAGATAAAATTTAAATCTATACATTACTGTTAAAAATAAATACAGGACTTAAGGCCCACTTATTGGTTGAATAAAAAATAGGAATTCAATTTTTTAAGTGAACAGTTATTTTCATCAAATCCTTTCCAATTTAAAAAAAAAAAAGTGTTGAAATGAAAATTTGCTTTGAGCTTACTAGTTATTTTAAATTATTTAGTACTAAGTCTACATAATCATTCTATAGGAAGCCAAATCAAGGAACTAAACATCACAATAAATTTCAACACCTTATCATAAATGCTACCACACATTTTGATACAGCTAAGAAATCAAACTAAAATATAGCCATTTCTAGAAATAATTAGGAATGTGTCAATAAGAAAATAAAATTAGAAAATAAACAATAGAAGAATAGTAAAGAAGGGCATATCCAAGCAGGTGAGGAAGACAATTATTTGCTCTCACTGTCTGAGTCCGAGCTGCTATCTTTTCTCCTTACTATCCTCTCAGTCAAACAAAATGTTACAGTACCCAAAACAGCAGTTGCAATTAATATTCCAAGTTGAATATAAAGTCCTAAAGCATTACTGTAGAAAAAGGCCGCAGCAGCAGCTATGCTCTGAAATACACATACATGTTGCACATTAATTTAAATACTATCAAATATTGGTTTGTTATATATACTAGCAAAATATCAAACTGAAAAGATATTCTAAAATTATTGATTATATCATTCACAGGATAAACATTCCAATTAATATAGTTTTAAAAATTATTGCAATGATTTAATTAACTCATTCAGGTTCAAGATCGTGATACGATTATGTAAATTCCACGCTAAGGCAAAGATTTACCGCACCTGTGATTGCTGCTTCAAAGTTATGCTGATCAGTCATATATAATTGATTATTTACAACTTCCATTTCAATTTTCTAGATCTGAAGTTTACATTGAATCTCAATATTACAAAACAGCCTCACTGACAATTAATGAAGCCACAGATTGGGATGACCTATTTTAATTAATATAAGAAGTTTACTTCAATTCTTCCCCCAACATCACTTTGGGGAGTGTACGGGACCAGAGGAATAGGCAGTCCTCCATTAATATGGGAAAATGGAGAATTGAGGGGCGCTGGACACCAGCAACTGGTGAGAGACAGCCCAGGATAGGCTGACCTGGTGGACTCATTGAGGAGGCTAAGGTCCAACACTAATTTGTAATATATTACCTGAAATTCTAGTATTTTAAATACTATTTATAATACTATCAACCCCATTAAACCTTTAGTTTTTATTATTCAACATAATAGATCTTTATATTTTTCTGTATAGTGGTGTTATTCTTAAGACACGTCAATCTTCGACCATTCTCATATGAGATCTTGTACCCACCCATCAAAGTAAATTAAGCAAAACTTGTATATTAAGGTCTTCTTCTGAAATAAAGAGGGATTTGCCCAAATGTACATTGTTGAAGAGCCTTTCAAGTTGAAAAGAGGCTAGGATAAAGTGTGCATAATTATAAATAGATGTTAATTGCTGAATTAAGTGGAAGGAATTTTTAATATCATATGAATTATTGGATGAGTTTTTGTAGAGAGGAAAAGAGGATTGGTTGAACTGGAGAATTAACATTAGAAGGAGGTTTTTTGAATATTTGTAAAAATAGAGAGTTATGGAATTGAAAAGAATAAGGGGATGTTTATTTCTTTATTCTGTAGATGTTAATTGAATTTTAATTTGAGAAGGAACGGGTAGTTATAATAATAAATTATTATAATCAGTACATTAAATTATTCCAAAAATCATAAATACTATGTAAGATAGATTAATATTAATATTTATTAATTTTACCTGAATAAATTTAAATACTGCAAAAGCTGGGGCACTTTCATCAGAAAATATTGTCCCAATAGCAGCATAAATTTGAGTGTTGAAACAGCTATCTCCAAAACCCAGAAGAAAGCTACATGCAATCGCTAAGTAACCACTGTAAAACATAAAACAAAAATGATAAATACGATTAAGATTTAAAATGGAAAAATTTAACAATCAGAAAATACATCTCAAATATTTGATTTGCTATTATTTAAAAATATTTAACTCTTGAGTAATAATTATCACCGTTTATGTTCCTTTTACAAATCTGTTTTTATTGATTTCAGTCTATTTTATTTTTTAATAAATTATTTTCTTTAACATTACGTTGGTTTAATAAGGTTGTGCCGTTTACCGTAGGGTTTCTTTCATGAGTAAGGTTTATTTTTCCACTACAATTTTTACAACTTTATATTTAATCAAGTTGTTATTAAGAAGAAGTAGATAATCAAATATCTTAGGAGGAGTATGCAAAATCTTTTGAGGAAGGTGGAAGGCAGCACTAATGCACACAAAATGAACGCTATGATAAATGGTATAGCGGAATTTCAATGCATTGCCACGATTGATATTTGAAAATCTGTAACATTGAAACATTATTGTAAAATATTTTCAACAGCATGTGTTGCTTTTACATCCAACTGATGGTGGGTTTTTAATAAATATGAATAGTTTCATCTTATATTTTATAATAGTAGATATATTAAACCACACACTATTTAAATGCAATGTTAAGCCAAAATTTCAAGGTGAAGAACATTCCGAGATTTAAGAGTTTCAACAAACAAACATTTAAATTTTTATTTGACATAAAATGACCAACACAAAGTTGAACATTAAACAATACATTAAATATAAAAAAAAAATTAATAATAAAATTAAATATGAAAATATATGAGTGGCTTCATATCATTTCCAGAAAGTGGAAATAAAGTCAATTTTAGTTTTATAAGTTCAACTCCGACTGTTTCTGATGATTAAGAATGACGGCGTATTCACTCTGATGATTAAAAATTTTCAAGTTGAATCATGAAAAAAATCATTAGAATTAGTTTAAATTGAAGCCATGTTACAGACAAATTTGTTTCCCAACTTTTTTAAAATGACAGATGTTCTCTGGTATTAATCCACTCATAGGTGCTTTCTATTTTCTTTGTTTTCCATTTTGCCAGCTCAAGCCACATCAGCTAGTATAATATAAAAAAAAAGTTATTATCCTGAACAGTACTTGTGATTTCTGCCAGGGGGCGTGACCCCCTCTATTTAAAGAATTAGCTATTTAAAGAAAAGAGAAATACAGGAAAATTTTCTAATGTGATCAATATCATCATCCCGAGCTCAACAATTCATTACCGGATCTTTACTGCTTCTAGAGTTTTTCTCCATGTTTCCCTGTCCTAGACTTCATCAGTTTCATGGATTCTGGCATCAGCACTTACTCCATTTTCCATCTCAGTTTCGGTCTGCACACTTTTCTTTTTCCATCCGTTCCATGCTCAGCAGCTTCTTTGGGATCGAGGTCTCGTCCATCCGTACAACTTGGCCCTCCCATCTCCCAGCCTTGCTATCTGGATATATTTCACCACATCCCTCTCCTTGTATAAGTTAGCTAGTTCTTGGTTGGGTCTAATTCTCCATTCACCATTCTCCTTAACTGGGCCAAATATCCTCCGAAGGACCTTGCTTTCAAAAACTAATATTTTAAGCAGGTGTTTAATGACAAGAGAAATATAGGTCAAATCCATCCTTGTAGATGAAATTCTAATGTAATATAAAAAAAAAATTATAATCGAGACTAGCACTAGCGAATTCCGCAAGGGGGCGAACCCTCCCTCTGGATGGTGGACAAAAAATTCCGAAAAAGTTCCAAAAAGCAGCTCTTTAACGAAAAGAGTGATGTAGTTTTTGGGCTGCCATGAGATACAACTCATTTCCAAGTAACAAGGCTATTTATAGTAATCTTTCTCAGATTTTGAAAATGTTGGTAAACATTAGCGTTCATTGACCGTAGTTATTGGCCATATCACTTAATCAAATTATTAAGTTTAGGTACTCGCTCGACACACAATTTGACAATCTTTAATTTCTTAAAGAATACGTTTTTCACTTTGATGCACTGTTTAGTAGTAATACATGAAAAAAACAACAACATATAAATCTGGATTTTTTGGCTGTAAAAAGTTTTCACTTGGTGACCCATGTTAGCAATTTAGTTTTTTACAATTCTAAACCCATATACAGGGTGTCCCATAAGAAGAGGGAAATATTTAAAGGAGTGATAGCAGAACTCAAGAAATACAAACAAGTTTATTTATATACTGTATAATGAAAAGAGAAATGGAGAGAAAATTCATTCGTTGTTTATACAATGGTTTGATTTTCAGAAGGAAAGTAGGGAATTAAAGTTTAGTGAAATTTTATGTCTCATTTGTTGTTGAATAGGAAGTGATAATTTTGAAAAGAACTATTTAATTTAAGTAATTAACGATTGCTTCACTGTAAACTAGACAAAATTTACTTTAAATAAAAATAGAGTTTGCTTTTGTTAAAAGATATTTAAAGAGGACTTTTGAGCGAATAAACTCAGCTGAAGAGTGGGGGTAGTGGTGGGGAAAGCACTTGGTGCAGAGATGAGCTCCCCTAAGAAAATTCCTCGATCCGCCTCTGATCTGAGGTATATACATACATCAAATGCGCAGTTTCACTTTCATACGATTTTTCGTTTTTAGTTAGACACATACACACAGATGCACACACACACACACACACAGACCATTTTGCGGAAGTTAGTTATTTGGACTCAGGAGATCTCAAAACATGTATTTCCATTGAAAACTTAGATTCAAACATTTTTTGTCAATACTGTCCCTTACTATATCTTTCATATATAGATAAATGAAAGTAAAACATTGTTAAATTAAGTTTTTATTGTTAATCAAAACTGCCTGGAAGAGGTAATAACATTAGATTTGGTAACCCAAAGAGGGACCAAACAAAATACATAAATTTATTACCTACATGAAAGTATACTAAAGCTCACTTACCTTGACTTATTAAATTGAATGTTATTCTAAAACAAAGGAAATTGGTAAACATCAATCTTAGCTGCTTCTTAGTTCTGAATTCAATTATTCCATAGTATTGAACACAGTGTATTCTAATAAAGGTACTGCTTTAAATGGTTCGCAGATATGGAAAGATTATTAAATCACTTCTTTCGAATTATTATGGTAGCATAATAACTTACTCACTTGTATGTCCTAAATAATAACATAACAGCCTCCACCACTTGAGAGAGTCCAGTGCATAATTTTTAATGATATAATTATAATAATAACTGACCTTTGACATTGGTTCGCTCTTCTTTTGATAAAGCTCAGTGAGAACAATAAATTTATATTTAGAACAGCAGCAGAATTTAAGAACAATAAAATTAGTAAAGCGATTATGGTTCAAGTTTCCACAAAATTATAAATATAATTTTGTGTTTTAAAAGTAATCATCATTAGATTGACTTACTTGCTTCTAATGATAGCATTGTCAGTGGTATCTTGCAAAGGAGAAGAGTCAGGTAAGTTTAGAAAAATACAAAAGTAAGTGGCAATGTGAACGATGAATCCCAGAAGAACTATAGGATCCCTACCAAACTTGGCTGTTTTAGAACTGAGTAATCCAAACAAAAGACCTCCTGTAAAATTAATTTAAGTAATTAAAAAGGTATATGTAGAAAATAACATAAATAAAGAAGTTTATAAAATAAAACAGTAATCCAATAATTTAAATATAACTAGTTATGATTAAAGCATAGAACGTAAAATAAAATAGAAGGGACATTCCCCTATCAGTAGATGGTGGCACCCATTCTCCAATCACTCTTACCTTGCCTTAAGTTGACAAGCAGTTTTAAGGTTTTATCAGTTTTGTGGTGTTTAATTTTGTTTCAATCTCTATTAAAGCCAAGAAGAAATGTCCTGCTGTGTTACCTTTAGTTGCAGTACTAAGAAGTTGGATAAAAAGGCTGGTTCCCGAATATATTTCCATGGAAAAGTTTTTCATACTTTCCATTTTACTGTTTAAAACTTGAATGAGGACTCTAATGGTCTTCTGTAATAGAAACAATAAGCAGAAATTGGATATACTTGACTATTCTAAGAAGGTGAATGAAAGTGGAATCCCTAATCACAAGAAATTCACAGATAATGAAAAATCCAATAAGCTTGCTGAGCTCTCTCTTCTGGAGCCAGAACCTGCATTAGATATCTCAAAGAGTCATCAGCATAAAGAGCTCCTTGACTGTGCTTGGAAAAGAGCAGGCAATAAGTAGAAAGAATTTGCTGAACTCAGATAAGGAAAGCAGTTAATTAAAAATCCACCTTCTTCTAGAATTAAGTGGCCGCAAGGTCTAAATAAAAATGATATCTGACTAATAATAAAAATACCCATAGGCCACTTATGAATGTAATATATACATAATATATTATTTTATAATACATTTGATAGTTACCTGCAATTTCTCCAATTCCAATCAGTATACCAGAGAGGCCAACTAACTGTTTTGGATTGTCACTAATATTTAGTGTTGCTCCAATACATGAACCATAGACACCACTAAAGAAAGAAAGTTCCAATCCTATAAACAATTAAATATCATTGTTAATAAATTAAGTAAAATTTGCTTAAATATTGAAAGGAAAATATGAGTCTTGGGCCCAGTACTTTGTAAGGAAGTACCAGGTTTTCCTCCATAGTCAATTATTTAATTAAGAGAACTGTACATTGTGAGGAAGCTGGATATGGCTCAGGAGGGTCCCTCCCTAGCCTTAGGGTCTATCCATGGCTGTTGTAACAGAATAAATAAATTACCTGCTACAGCCGGACTCGAACCCAGGGCCCAAACATAGTTAGCTACTCTCGAAATGTTCAAAAATATATCTAATGAAGTTAAAAGATGAGACATACTGATGATTTAATTATTTTTGCCTGATTTTCAACTCCTTTAGGCTCTGACTGAGGTAAACATTTTCAATCCAATTAGTGTTATTCTAAAAATGTGAACTTAAAGATGCTGGCTGGCACTTTGGTAATATATAGTATGGTAACAATGTTTAATAAATTGGCTGTAGGGAGGGAGATAGAATGCCATACATAGAGGAGTAGTTGAGTAATCAGTTTATTACCTCTTATATTGTATATATTGTACTAACCTTATAGTTAATAATTATGTAATATTACTCTTTGGCCACTTTAATTTCACTTCCTGTAAATGATTATTTTACAAATACTGATACACGATTACTTAATAAATACCATCAGCACTTTACTGTTCCGATACTTTCTATACTTTTACACAATACTCAACCATACGATCGCTTATTGGTTTCCCAATATCCACTTCCTATCTTCCCATATTTTACCTCTTTTAATTTGATTCCACCTCTACAATTATTTTTTAAAAACATACATGGCAACTCATTATATATCTCAATTTTATTCCAATTCTCATATTTCTAGAGGTACAACCAAACCTATTATAACCACCAGAGTTGGAAGGTGGAGGTTCATTTTGTGGGTCCGCCATAAAATAACTTTTAATCTGCCCAGGATGGATTCGAACCGGCTTAGCTAGACTCGTGAAAGTTAAAGTTTACACTTTAACATGTTCAACCATCACAACTTGAATGTTATTTTTAAATGAATGCAAAATATTTGGCTTGCCCCCATCATAAAATATTGTGGAGAACAGAAAGTGTCTTGCGCCCCTCCATCACACCTGGTGCCAGTGTGAATAAGTGAACAGATTCTGTGTTACATTTACATGCTTTATTAAAGTTCTTTTTATGTTCATAATTTTATCAAACACCCTGCTTACATATTAAGGAAATAATTTTATTTACTAATTTTCATTTGAAGGAAGCAAAAACAAGATTTCAAAAGAAGATAGAACAATAAATGTAAATTTTCTGTTTGGAATCAGAGAGGTTGTTGGAGTACCTACTCTATAACATCTAATAATAATAGGTGCACAAATGTAGGCCTTAATTTTTGTTACAAGAACTTGCTATTAAAAAAAAACAAACAATTATCTCTAAGCAACAAGAATGTTTTAAAAACAGCAATTAATTTAAATTTCAAACAAAAATAAAGGTTTATGATCAATAATTCAAAAGTCAACATAATCCACAACCAAAGAAAGATAAATTCCCAATTTTTATTGACCATTAATATATTTTACATATTATTGTAAATAAATTTAACAATGGTAATATATTTGTTACCTGTATAGAAAAATGTGATGCATAGTAGAGCCATTTCTTTCTGTCTCATTAGAGAAACAGCTTCAACAAAAGCTTGAATAGGCCCTGAATTTCTTTGGGGTACTACAATTCCAGAGGCTGATATTGCTGGTCGCAGAAGTAACATAAAAATGCAACCTATACCACAAAGAGCTGATAAAACAATGGTAACGAGCAATCTTGTTTTATGTTCAATTACTGGCTCATTGAATGCCATATATACAAAGAAGTTGCCGAACAGCATACTGAAAAACAAAGAAATATAGATTACTGAATATATAACTTCAGTGTATTAGGAAACTTTGGTACAAATTTATTAAATACAAAAGTATCTTAGCCTGAATGAAAAATAGATAATTCAAATTTGAGAGTGCATGTTGGAAATTCACAAGAAAATGGTGACTTGGTAGGATCATTTAAAATTGAAATGATAATTTTATGATTACAATAGAAAAAAGGCCTTTTCAGTGTAGATAAAAATTCATTGAGTTAACAATACAACAAATGTCGACAGCATGATATTAGAAACTAGATGGAAGTGAGATCAAAGTAAGTATAAGAACAGTTATAAAAGAAGCAGCAAAGATTGAGTTCAAAGTAAACCATGAGAGGACTAGTTACTTTATTGCTTGCAAAAAATACTACACAAAAATAATTTATAATCAAAAACTTCTTTTTAAAAAAATGGAACAGTTCAGCTTCCAGGAATCTGTAACCAATCTAACAGGTGACATAACAATACTTTACTATACTGTACTTTGTAGGTTTTGAAAACATAAAACTCTCTAATTAAGTCCATTCTCTTGTTTCTTATCATTATAACAAATTACAGACCTTCGAAAATAATGTATTATATAAAAGTTAGGCTCTATACTAGAGTCCAAGAAAATCAGCAATTGAGAACATAGATTGAGCAAAGTGCATTAGATAAAGGTCTGTTCAAAATAAATGAATGTACAAAGTGAATGTACAAAGATGGGTAGGTCATTTCATATCTTATACACGGTGGGCCAGACCCCCCTACTGTGTATTCCCTCCCTCCCCCCCCCCCTCCACATCCCTATAAATTGCATATTGTTGTTCCTTGTAACTATTTATTTTAAAGAAGCCAATGTTCCCACAAAAAAAAGTGAACGCACACGCAGATAGAGAGCTATTTTTCTTTTTTGATAGACTTCCAATGTGCATCTTGAGTCTCTCAATCCATATCCCTCTGGCAATCGACAATATTTCTTATTCTAGCTTCTACGATTCTTGAGTATAAGTTTCTTTGGTAAACTGAACAGGAGTGAATCAAGATGGGTACAAAACTACTGTTCTTTCATATTATTCTCTAACACATTTGCTGCTTATATAGGTGCAGCAGTTCGGTTTACTTCGTTCAGAGCAGCTGACTTGCCAATTGCTAAGAACAAATCTTTCTTGCTGATAAAATTGTCTTCACCACAATAAACCTGCATCATCCCCTTAATATCATCCAAACTACTCCAGCATTTGATCCACTTTTAGGAGCATCTTGTAATATTCTGTTCATCTGTCTACTATATATTCTTTTAGCCATATTCTTTTCCTGGATTTTGGCACTTCCTTTATAGTTAGCTTCATGTATTTTTCTAATTTTGGGGTTCATTTTTGCGTTTTCCCTCAACATGAGACCAAATACTAACAATCAGTTCCGGTTACCTAGAAGAACTTATAGCTTCGCCCTTTCCTTCTTTCTTTGTGCAGAGAGAACAATGCATTCAATATTAAAATTTTCCATTTTTTTATGATATGATCCAACTTCCTAAAAAAATAAAGGATATAAAAATGAATTTTTTTATTAGTGATATGAATTTTAAACAACCCGGCAACTATTCATTACATGTAGTTCAGATTAGGTATATATTTTAGTCTATAAAACAGGCATTAATATAACTCATTTTCGGGGAAGTATAAACTTTTTAATAAAAAAATAAGGAAGTATAAGTATTTAAATTACCTCTAAGTATCAGTAAATTTACAAAACAAGAGTGTTAAATTGCAAACGTTAAATAAAAAATTCAAGATATTCAGTGAAGGATTTTTTACATAAGTTTTAATATTATGATTTTATCATTTTAGAGGCCTTCTTAAACGACCTCCGTATAAAATAAAAAAAATTGTTTAATTTTTTTGGACAGTTAAATTATTGTATTTATATTTGTTTGTTAATACAATCAATATAATGTACCAAAAACGTAATTATAGCACAATAACAAAGCCATTTACGAGTACTGAATGATGTTATAGACTCTATAATAGAGAGATCTGTAGGCACCTACCACTTTTCTGCCACTTAAGTGCATTTTCTATGGAACTGTTTCAAATATCTTAAAATATAATCAGTGTTTTAGAAAGTGAAATATACTTTTAGATGATTTATTTCAGCACGTTTTGCATCATTGTTGGCCGTTTAATTAAAAACGACGCTTGGTTTTCAACTTGAAAATTTGTTTGTTAAAAAAGTTGACTTTACTGGTATTTTTTATTGCCTAATCCAATTATTTTTAGATATTTTTTCATGTTTTATTATCCTCTGTTTATTCAGCTTTAACAAAAGACCAACTATGACGAAATTAAGCCAAATGCTGATTCTCAGTGACCAAAAAACTAACTAAAGTCAAAGTCGTCAGTCCGCCATGTTTGGATGCCATTTTGGGGCAGTGCGATCACTGCTGTTTGTGGGAACATTGGCCTTTTTTAAATAAATAGTTACAAGGAACACAACAATATATATTTATAGTTATGTGGGGGATGGGTGCACGGTAGGGGGTTCTGGCCCACAGACTATTATGAAATCTTATCTATTTTATATTATATATAGTCTGCTATACTAATAAAATACTTTTCTTTATACTCAACAATCTTGCTTATAGTTGAACTTTAAGAAAAAAAGTAAACTGCTTGTAATTTGTAGAGTTATTATTTCTATTTATAAGTTAGAATGTTTTGTCCCTCTTTAAAATTTAGAAACAAACATCAAAATAATTAATACACTGTCGTCCATCTCTTTAGATGGTTTTCATTATATTTTAGATGCTGAAGAGAGGGACAAAGCATCCCCAAAATGTGCATATAGAAATAAAAACATAATAAAGTACAACCCTGCCACCCCTGGACTAGATTGTTTAAAGTAGAACAAATATGCTTAACATCCGATACAGGGTTGAAAATGATAGTGAAGTGGGCATTGGTAGGTAATACAAAGGATTATCAACCTTCACAATATTCTGTATATTGAATCAAATCCAATTGAAATTGTATATCTATTGTGGCAATAGATTATATTACATACAGTTGCTTGAACATAGCAATGATACAAACCTGCATTGTAGCAAAGCCCAAAATACTCCAGAATTTCTAGAAATTGTAGTATCGTCAGAATTCAGAGTGAGATAGTTTCCCTGGCCTGTCCAAATAATGGAAGCCCCTAGTCCCATTACAACAGAAGCAAAGTAAAGTAGCCATGTCATCGGTTTAAAAAATGAAGCTATAAATAACCTGAAAAACAAAAATTTGGATTTAGTAAACGACTCTAATTTAAACTATATCAAAAACACAAAGTCTGGAATAACATCATGCTTATATTTATGTGTACATAAAGATAAAAAGTTAGTTATTAATTTAAAACTATACTCAACTGAAATATGTGTTCACAAAATGATGTTTTCATGATATCAGTAAATATTTTTAAAAAATCAAATAATTTTATTGTTGTTTACAAATTTAAACATAATTGTCTTTGTTGTATAGAAGCAAGAGTTTTATTTCTTGTTTCTTCTTAATGAACATACATTTAAAAATAAATTATTTTAACTTATATCCAGCTCTAATTGTATCAAAAATTAATAATTATATCTTACAAATAAGTAAAGCTTCCAATGACCATTGACATTTTGGGTCCAATTGAAGCAATCAATGAGGGGGAAAGCCAGTTTCCAAGAGCAAAAAATGTGTAGATAACAGCCAATGAAATGTATGCATTGCCATTAAATGATGGATCATCTTTGGAGACAGATTGAATAATTGTCCTCTAAAACAAAAAATAAAATAAAATAAATTACACAAACCATTTAAATAATAACAAAAGTTTTAATTTGTAAAAATAACTTGGATTGCAAGACATTTGAAGAATTCATTCCATTAATTCTTGACAAATATTTAAGAGGAAAGAATCACAAAAAAGAAATCTTTCATCCCTCTCCATCTCTCACTCCCTCACACTCTCACTCTCTCTCTCTCTCCCTCTCCCTCTCTCCCCCTCCATTAATATTATCGTTATCAGCACTAGCGAATTCTGCCATGGAATTCGAAAAAAAAATGGGAAGTGGAAAAAAAATCCTAAAAAATTTCCAAAATACACCTATTTAAAGGAAAGAGAAATATAGGGTAAATTCATACTCATAGACGAATTTCCTAACATAATATAAAAAAAAAACTTATTATCCTAACTAGGGAGACCTTCCAGGGTTCGCACCTTCCCTTAGAAGGTGGAAAAATAATTCTGGAAAAAAGTTAAAAAAAAAAAACAACTATTTAAAGATAAGAGAAAAATTGGAAATAATCATCCTCTAAGACGAATTTTCTGATGTGATCGTCATCCCGAGTTCGACGATATATTACTGGCTGCCTGAAGGGTTGTTTTACTGTCCTGAGCAGCCGTCCACCAGTTCCTGATTCCAAGGTTTCTGGCATCAACACTTACTCCATCTCAGTTTTAGCCGGCCCACTTTTCTTTTTCCACCCGCACCATGTTCAGCAGCCCCTTGGGATTGAGGTCTCGTCCATCCGTACAACTTGGCCCTCCCATCTCAGTCTTGCTATTCGGATATATTTCATCTAAGCCGGCAAGTTCTTAGTTGCGTCTAATTCTCCATTCATCAATCTCCTTAACTAGGCCAAATATCTTCCAAAGGACTTTCCTTTCTAAAACTAATATTTTAGGCAGCGGTTTAATGAAAAGAGAAATACAAGACAAAATTATCCGCATAGGGGAATTTTCTAATGTAATATATAAAAAAAAATATTGCTGTGACCAGCACTAGCGATAAAAAAGCAAATTAGATTCCTTTTTAGGGCCCTTTAAACGTTTAAATACGAATCGTTATATAAATAAAAAAAAAAATACCTCCTTTAGTTCTTGATTTTTATGGATGAATTTTTATCCGTTCGTCAACTAAAGAATAAATCCTCAGAATTTTCTTCAAATTCAACTTTAATATAGCAGTTGGAATCTGAATCACTGGTTTTCCAACTTACACTAATAACTTTTGGATTTAATTTATTTTTTCAAGCTAGAAATTAAGAAAAATCCTAATCCATTTTTATTTTATATCTTTAGTTTTAATTAGTTCTCGAAGACCGGCTGCAAAACGCGCCTAAAGAAATTTTCACTTAAAAACGATGGTTTTTTTTTTTTTGCTATAAAAAGCTTGTTCATTGGTGACCCGCGGTAGCACTTTTACAAGAACAAAGTTAGTGCCGCTGAGTTCGCACTCGGGACACCAACTAATCGCGGTCGAACTTAAGCAGCAACTGATTATGCTCAAAAAGTTCCTTGAAGATAGTGAGTGCCAGCACAAAATTTTTGATGACCTTATAATACACTATATGTGGGAAACATAAGTCCTATAGCATGTCTTCAAGATATTTTTCCTTGAGAATCTTCTCTTCGTGAATAGCGGACTTAATAGACTCTTGATAACATTATTTTTAGAATCTCAAAATGTGTCACGAATACTCCAAACAATACAAACTGAATTGTTGAACATGGCCTTTCTAGGCTATGATAAGAAATGACAATGTTTTCTGTGTCAATAGGCATACTTGAAGTAGTTGTTAAATTAGACACTTATGGATTAGTTTGTAAGAAAGATTCTGGGTCAGTAATTACACTTAAATGGCTAGCTTGTTTTCGGGATATCTATGTCCAAATGAGCAGCTTCAGTCTATGATCTTAATTTCATATGTTTCTAGACATCAACATAACATAACTATAATTAGACAACGCCAAGCTGCATTAAAAAACTTTTAAAAAAAAAATATTATGCATCTTTTATTACTTATAATATGTCTAAAGGGAAAATAATGCGATCGTGAACAATTTTTAACCTACATTTCCAACGGAACTTTTTAAGGCCCTCTTGAGTCAATATAACCAAGTTTTGCCAAAGTGCGTGTATATGTGAACAGCCCAGCTTAACTGCGAAAAGTCGTGCGAAACCCAACATATCGATAGCACAACAGTCATCACACAAATTTTAAGTGGATAATGTTATTTCAAATGGAAAAAAATCATCAAATTACTCATTAATTTAATTTTCTACAATTAACTTAAGGGGAGCCAGAACTACAAACTCCAAGAACGAATATTGTTGTCTGTATTTCATTCCCACCCCAGCAATATCCTTTTCTCCGATACTCTTACCTACTGGCCAACCGATCCTGGCCGTAATCCTGGCCTCCTTGACTTCTTTATTCGTAAACGGTCTCGGCCCACTTCATTTTTCCATTCCCCGGCTCGATGATCATTCCTCAGACTACAGCCCCTTACTTCTATCTCTTTCCGCAATACTGATTACCAAATCGCCCTTAACTTCATTTATGAGGAGAAAAGTTAACTGGAACCTCATTCGTCAAATTCTGGTCGATAATATAGACCTCAGAGTTTCCCTAAAAACATCTGAAGACCTAAATGATGCTATGCATTACTACCTTGATATTGAAGTAGTTCGGTCTACATCATCACCTGATGAATCCCCGAAACGTCGCAAAATAAATCCCTTACCACAAGACCTATTGGATCTTAACCATACCAAACGGTGCACTAGGATCCTCTGGCAAAGAACCAGACATCCTGATGATCGTAAGTCTTCCTACAACCCTACTTTTCCTTACTATCTGCATGTGATAACTCTCTCTAGAAAGTAACCAAAAAAAGCCATAAATCCCATTACATTTCCTATCCCCTTCGCCGTTATGATGGTTTTTGGGTTTCGTCAGATGAAAATAGAGCTGAAGAATTCGCTAAACATCTATTTGCTAACATCTCCATTCCACCAACACTGCTGAAGTTGAAGAATTCCTCCCTTCCCCGATTCCTCTCTCCTCGCCTCTTTCCCAGATTATCAGACAACTTCCAAAAAAAGCCATTATATTCCTTACATACCTATACAATTGTATGCGGCGCACAACCCACTTTCCTCAGATGTGGAAATACTTCATAATTATCCTCTTCTCTAAACCATTTAAACCTGTTAATAATACCTCATCCTACATACTAATGAGCTTGCCCCCGATACTTTAAAAAATCTTTGAAAAAATCCTCCTCTGGCGAATTCCGCCCATAATAGAATCCCAAAATATTCCTTAACACCAGTTTGGTTTGCGATCACAACACTCCACAGTTCAGTAAGGCCTACGCGTTGTTGACCACATATCCTTAGCTGTTGAAAGAAAACAAAATTAAGTTGAGGTTTATTAGGAAAATATTTTGAGATTCACCTCAAATTGTGTAAAGAAATGGTCTTTTCTATCCAGACACCTAAAAGTATTTTCAGCAAAAATGACTACAATTGCTGAAAAGCTTTTATTTCTTATTTATCCGTGATAACGAATGTATTGTTATAAATATAATTGCTTAAAAACACGTTTTACTTACAAAAATTAAAATAACGATTTTTCATGTAGGGTGGTTATGAACTATGTTTTCCTCCCAGATTTCCGTCATAGAAATTAATGTGTATTTATCAGTGACAAACTTAATAATTCTTACTAAAATTTAGGTTTAAAATAAACTAATCTACTGATTGCTTCAATTATTTTCATGAAAACGTAAATATTAGATCTAGAAATATCAAGTTTGTCACTTATAAATACGCATAAATTCCTAAAACGGAAATCAGGAAAAAGTCTTGATTTGGGAGGAAATCGGTTGGACGCCCAAGAATCATATATAATAGTTATAAAGATAGACTCGGACGAGAGTGAGGTCGACCCTAGGGGAGACGAAGAGAAAGGCCGAGGATAGGGACATATAGCGAAGGTACGAACAGCACGAAGGAGAGAAAAAGAAATAAAAGTAATTATGTGACCAATAGAAATGGTTAGATTGGCTAGATTGACCCTACTTAGCATTTTTTTTTTTTTTTGTAATACCTCAATACGTAACAAGGAAAAAATCATTTAATGCTTTCTAATTATAAGTAATGATGGCAGTAAACATATTTACTATCTGAAATATATGATGTCCCCCACTCTGGATATCTACTGATAACAGAATTTGATGGAGGGTTAATAAATATTGTCCTGGATTAAAAATAGATTTTGAACTGATACTTCCTCTAAACAATCTGTTATTAAATTCGTTTAGTTTTATTGATTTTAAGTTATAAATATATTTTCTTTAGCATAGGCGAGTGGCGACAACGTCATCTTTCCTAGCTAGCCACTCCGGATAGAGGACCATGGCTCTGCGAATCAGCCCCTCCATCTTACTCGGGGGACGTGGGGTGATTAAACAACTTCTCTTAAGTATCATCATATCAAAACCTCGAAAAAGTTTCTCAGTCGGACTGTCTCAATGGAAACGACTCTTGAGCCGCCAAATTACTTATGCCAAAAATGTTCACGAACCTAGCAATGACAATGTTAAAGATTGATCAGTCTCGCTACCTCACATGGCTTTTATGCTACGTGACTTTGACATCATACTCAGATAGTTTCACCCTAAAGAATGCTTTTTTGGCTTTGGAGAAGGGTACAAAGGAGCTGGGACTAGCTAAAAACGAAAATTTAACAAAATAGATGTGTGCTTGTGGTGGGAGTATTCAGGAACATTCCTAGTAATAGGATCCTATGAGTTATCTAGGCACAGAACTTAGTTTACGCAATGAAAATCAGCCTGGGAATTGGAAGATGGGTTACTAGTGCCAACCGATGCTTCTCAAAACAACCTATTGAAACATCTACAAAGTAGGTCTGTGGACACAAAAGAAAAATAAATTTATACAAGACGCTAATACGCCCAGTGTTGAACT